TAATAAACAAGTTTAGATGGCGACTGATGAATCAAGGAGCTCTATGTGGAGTAGAGAACAAGATAGGCAATTTGAGAAAGCGCTGGCAACGTACCCCGAAGATTGTTCAGAAAGATGGGAGAAAATTGCTGCCGACGTTCCTGGAAAATCCCTGGAAGAGGTTAAACATCACTATGAGCTTTTAGTTGATGATGTCGACCGGATTGAGTCGGGCTGTGTACCTCTGCCTAGTTATAATTCTTCAGATGGTTCCACAAACCATGCGGGTGATGAAGGAACTAGTAAGAAAGGTGCCAGTTTTTGGCACTTAAATAGCGATTCCAATCATGGAGGCAAGGCTTTCAGGTCTGATCACGAGCGCCGCAAAGGGATTGCTTGGACAGAGGAAGAACACAGGTGAATACTTAGTTCAACTATATATTTATTCCAATCTTAGATGATAAGTCTTGCATATCCTAAAAAGTGGTTGTCCCTGTGCTTCTTTGTACTCTCTTTCCTGCAAAGATTTAAAGTCCATAAACTAAATGTTCACTAGCTCACGAATAATTTCTTCTTGTCCTGTTTGCATCTTGGAGCAATGATCATTTTCTTGTACACAATTGTAGTATGATTGATCAAGGACTTCCTGATCTTCATCTGCATCTCTGAAAATAGATAACTGGAACCTTTCTTTTTGTTCTATGCTTTCTAGAGTAAGAATTTATATTTGAAGCATGGCCGACATCCTTCTTTTGATTTGGTGGTCCTAGCTAGTTTTCTAGTATTTCAAGGTGGCTACCTTGCCCAAATGTTTGTTCGCATGGTGAACTGTCTCGTATTTACTACTGAACTTTGTGTTATATTAGAGAAAGAATGAAAATTTGAATTCAAATATTTATATTACACCCTGTAGATGAAAAGAACTGGATATAAATTTATTGAATCTAACTGGGGAAGAATATTCCTATTTGTTCTCTAGGAATACCACTCCATCAAATTCTGGTTGACACCATACTTAATTACGATATAGTGAAAGTATCTTCTTGGTTTGGAATGAAATTTAGTCTGCATCTTTTTTGTTTTATGCCTGATTATAACATTCATAATCTATTTTCTTTTGAATCACTCACACTCAAATATGGTATATAGATATTTTATTATTTATCTCTTAGATGTGGTGATTATAGGAATGAGTTACTGTTTGCAGTTTCCATTTAATTTATACTAAATTGAGAATTTAACTATGTGGAGCGTAAGGAGATGAAAATTTATCACCAAAGATGACCTAGGCTCAGTTTATACCCACTTATAACACACAAAGCCGACAACTACGAACCCAAGACAATACCAAGCTAACTTCCGGTTGCCAATTAGATATATAACTTAGGAGACCACAAAGGAACAAGGAATCTCATCAACTATCATCACTTAGACGATAGACAAAAAGAGGCAGAGAAGATGCAAGAGAAAACCACGAGAATCGGCCAAGAATAAGGGAGGCAGCGACGGGTCTCTCAAAATGAGAGAAAGAGACCAATTTATTTCTAAGTCAAGTGGCTCAAATAAGGTAAGTATAGATAGGTTAAACAATGGGTCAAGTTAGAGGCCCAAGAGACAATTAAATGGGCTCACAAGATATTCTCTTAATTAATGGTCATCCAAGGAAGTGTATTGGGCCACGAGCAACACTAAATTATTTAGATTGCTTCGAGTGGCCCAATTAACCTTCGGATCGTGTCGTCTCGAATGTGGTGTTGAATTCTCGTTCAGTCATTTGGCTAGGATAGCCCGAGTGTCAAGGACCGCAGCTTTACTTAGCCCCTTGACACTATCGCAGCCGCAGTTTGCCCAACTTCG